AGTTCTATTAAGTTTCCTGATTCTAAGCAACTTGATAAATAATGGAGAAGAAATATAAATAATAATAATAATGTCTTGCTCCACTCCATGAAAATATGGCAGCTACTTTGGCAGATTAGATATAATACATGAAATCAAGGAAAATGCAAAATTTTCTGACTTCATGTATGTGATTATTACCTTGACTAGAATCTAGGAGACAGAAACAGTAGTCTTCTGCGGGGTCAAATGCGATGCAGAAATGTTAGTGCACCCCCCAGCTGATCTTGCGCTCCCCTCTTGTCTCAGCAGTAGCCCCCAATTGTGAGCTGAGGGGGCACATACTGAAAATTCTGGGTGGTGAGTTTTAGTTAATTCCCCCGGCTCTCTTTGTTGGATAAGAGTAGAAGCAAATACAGGAGTGGTCCTTCTGTGTGGAAAATACACCAGCTCTCTGCAGGGTGTGGGTAATAATCTACAGCAGAGCTCTCCTCTCAGCCAGTAAACATCTGTGATGCCGGGCTGAGGAGATGTACAGACATTGCCAGGTTTACAGCATCATGTAATTTTAAGTTATTTTATTATTTTTTTTCCAGGAATATTTCCAAGTGAACATTTCAATACACCAAGCTTTCTCTATGTAGTATATTATCCCAAACATAATTCTTATCATTTAGAAGAGTTCGTTTGGTGGTGATTGGTTATATTATTTCAAGTGTTATAAAACCTGAAAATACTTTTAAAGCGCACAGCTCATGATAGCAAAGCTGAGATTTCTAACCATATTAAACCTAATAAGTGAAAGAAATGTACAAATCTGAAAATAGCTCATGATAGTGAAACTGAGATTTCTAACTATTTAAAACCTATTAAATAAATGAACAAGGCTGAAATATTAACGTTGGCATGCCTTGCCAGTTAATTTAAAATGTGTCCGTGAGTTTCTGCTGTTTGCTTTCCCCACACTTTGACTTTTCAATCTCTCAAACACATATGCTGTTGGATGAATAATTTATGCTTCAGCACATAAATATTTTATTGCTTGATTGTTTGCATAGTGCATTTTTACATCTGTAGAAGGGCATCATTTCTATGTAAAGTGGATTTCATGGGATGTTAGCAATTTACCATGTCACTGTTAACATTCCAGATGTTGAATGTGGAGGAGGTTTTTATATCAGAAGCCTGGTCAATGACATTGGTAAAGGTAAGCAGAAAAATGGATTATGAATTATCATTTAGAAAGTACTACCCCTTCTGACAGAAAGAGGGAATTTTCTGGCTTTTTTCTTTCTTCTTTCTTTCATGTTTCTGAGCACTGGCCTGAGGAACAAATTCTTGCTTCTGCTCTCAGCTTTAGAAGCATTGTGGTTTATAGCTTGCAGTTATCTATCAGCCTCAGTAGCTGCAGTGAGGGACTTGAGGCGAGAGGAATGGAAAGAGGGGGCCAGAGAAAGAAGGCAGGCCTGGTGGACGGCGAGCGGAATGGAAAGAGGGGGCCAGAGAAAGAAGGCAGGCCTGGTGGACGGCGAGCCTTTTCTCAAGGTAGAAACATTTAACTCAAAATCGGGAGCAGAAAACAAGATTTGTCTTTCTAAATATCACTTACATTGCTACAGATCAAGATTTTTGAAAACCGGAAGCTGCAGTCTCACAGTCAGAAAGTTAATGATTCGGCCTCTGCTCTTCCCTCACCATTATGACACTAGACGGGTCACGTTATCTCATCTGCAGAGGAAGGGTGATGGGTACCTCAGGGGAGTGCTTCCAGAGCCGAAAAAGGAAAAACGTGCAAGTTCCTTACAGAGTTTAAATCACTAAATAACCTTATCCAGCTTAATTGTTGCTTTATCTCAATGCTCTTGGGTCTTATGCTGGGTTATTTCATTTTAACTTTTGAGAGTTTGGATGATAGGTCTGAATTGGGTTCTTCTGATACTTGAAACATTGTAGATTGTGGAATGCTGTGCGGTTTACCTTGGATTTTTTTCTTTTGGGTCTGTAGAGCTCGCTTCCTGTGCCAGTGTCCTGGAGCTGACCCGAACCAAACAGGGGCCATTTACACTTGAAGAACATGCCCTTCCCGAAGACAAATGGACGATTGATGACATTGCACAGTCCCTAGAGCACTGTACATCTCTTCTGCCAGATGAGTTGGCACTTAAAAAATCAAAGCCTGATGAACCTAGTGACCAGGTTTTGAGCTGTGAATATATAACTCTAAATGAGACAAAGGGAGAAAATGACATAGTGGAGACCCTTTGAGACTGGCCTGGGAGCATCATTTCCTGTTTGGTGTTTGAGTCCCATGTACAGATGCAGAATGAATGGCAGGAGCTGTGGCAACTGTTCCTTCTGTTTGTGTGCGTGAAGATGACCATCGTTTGCAGTTACACAGTGTTCAGTCTGTGCGTGTGCTACACGCTGAATGGCCTTGCACTTGTTCGGCTCTTTGTTCTATGAATTTTCTTTTTAAGATGTTTTCATGTTGTTGAACTATGAATTTGATTAGATTCAGAGAAGTTAGCTTTCTGAATTTGATCTTCTTTAGTCTTTTTCCTGTGAAAAAGCTAAACAAATATTCTAATTAAAGAAAAAAGAAATTTGAGCTAGTTTTGTTAGTTTCAGAAAAGTGAATGTAATTTAGTGTCATTTTTGCTATTTTTAGGCTGCCAAGTGGTTCCATTTGAAAATACTTCAAGTGTATTTGAAGTATTCAGTATTGAGCTGTTTCATGTGTTGGGAGAGTTTATTCTAAAAAACATTGCATTGATAAGACTGTACTCGTTGCATTCAGTAGGGCTGTTTATTTTAGATCTTGGCTATGAGTAAGTTTTTTATAATAAGTATTTGTAGATGCACTAAATTACCGCCATAACCACTAAGAGAATGTAAATAAAAGATTAATATTTAATTAATTTCACGTCTCCCTTCAGAGCAGGCAGCAGCTCTGGTAGCTGTGCACTGTGGCAGCTATTTCTTTGGAACTACTTTGTTCCGAATTACTAAATAATGGGATTTTTAAAAATTGAAACTAAAGAATATGTCCAGTTAACTTCTCTCTTCCTGCTCTTTAGCGTTTCTTTGTATCTCTTTAGAGAACATTAATCCCCATGACACTGTTTCTGTAGTTATTCACTCTCTTAAGTCATATTTATAGACGTGGAAAGAGCCTCCTGCACTTCAGCTCATTTCTTCTGTCTGCTCTAAATATTTTAAAACACCAGTTTTCAAAGGTTTCCATTCAAATAAGTTCAGAAAGTGCCCTATCCCTCTTCATTATGATTTTCAAAATGTGATTACATTGCACAATGGCAAATTTCATGTAATGAGTGCTTTGTTCTTTTGTTGAGAGAGAGATAGTTGTGGGTTTTTTTGAGACAAGGTATCATAACCCAGGATGACCTCAGACTCACTCTGTATCCTAGGCCATAAACTCCTGATCCCTCTGTTTCTGCCTCCCAAGTACTGAGATTACAAGCATACACCATCTTGCCAGCAGGAATGTAATATATTATTCAGTTAGTCTGTGAAAAGAAAAATTGAGATCCCTCTTCATTTACTCAAGTTTCTTTTCATAAAAAGCCGTATTTAAAATTTCACAAAGAGGTTTGAACTATTTTTCCAAGGTTTATTTTTATTTCCTGTGTTTACCTTCATGTGTGTATGTACCATATGCATGCCTGGTGCCCTTGGAGGCCAGAAGAGGGCATTGTGGAGTTGTAGACCTGTTTGAGCTGTGATGTGGCTACTAGGAACTGAACCCAGGCCCTCTTCAAGTGCTCGTTACCACTGAGCCATCTCTCCAGCCTCCAAAATATAGGTTTTAGTTTTTTTGTGGATTACCTTTTTTAAAGGTACTTATCTGCATATAAACTCTAACTCAGTAATTTTAAATAAGTAGACAATACTACTTTAAATAAGTAGGCCCAATGCAAACCTATTATAAAAAGTTATATGGTGGTGGGAGCTGGAGTGATGGCTCAGTGGTTAAGAGCACTTACTGTTCTTTCAGTGGACCAGAGTTTGGTTCCCAGCACCCATGGTAGGCAGCTCACAACCTCCTATACTTCCAGCTCCAGGGGTTCTGACACCCTCTTCTGGCCTCTGAGGGCACCCCCACACATGTGGCATACACACACAGCATCCTCAGTATATTGGCAATGTATTTTAATAAAAATTATTAAAACAAGTTCTGGGCCAGTGAGATGGTTCAGTGGGCAAAGGCACCTGCTGCCAAGCCTGACAACCTACATTCAGTTCCCAGGACCCACGGGGTGGAAGGAGAGAACCAACTCCTGCTAGTTGTCTTCTGACCTTCATGGGTATACTGTAGCATGTGTGTATACGTACATTAATAAATGTAATTTAAAACTTCAAATTCTTCATGTGTGAGAAAATAAGAATATTGATACTGAGATGAGTGTGGTGGTGCACACCTTTAGTCCCAGCCCTCAGGAGGCAGAGGCAGAGGCAGGTGGATCTCTGTGAGTTTGAGGCCAAACTCGTCTACATAGTGAGTTCTAGGCCAGATGGGGCTACAGGGAGACCCTGTCTCAAAAAGACCAAAAAAAAAAAAAAAAAAAGAATATTGAAGTGCCCTGTAACTTGTGTCAGCCAAATTGACAAAGACTGTATATAGTACATCATCATTAATCACTAAAGTCCAAATAGAGGACTATTAATGCTTTACAACACAGCCGAGGTATTTCTGGTTTTTTTTTTTTCAATTTGAAATTTACACACATTTTCTATAGAGAATAGAGATTATATAAAAAGATAAGTAACTTCTAAAAAAAATAGTAGCCAATCCTTTTCTTTTGTATTGAAGACACTGAAGAAAATTGGGGAAATGGAAAATTTCCCATAATCCTTGCCATCCTAATGCCCTCATTTTAGAATTTTAGTTTTTATATTACAGAGTTTTAGTTTTTATATTATATTCCCTTTTTTATTTTGTTCATTTGCTATTACTCTGTATATTTAGTTTTTCATGATTATTTCAATCACAGTACTTTATATTCATAATTCATTTAAATTACTTTCTTATTGCTAAATACTTAAGTATTTTCAGTTTTATTAGGAAGACAGACTCTTGGAGTGGTTACTAGATGAAGTACTATGAAGTTCTGTGGTTTCTTTGCTGTCTCGTATTCCCAGGGTTGTGGCTTTTACAGTATCACTGTGCAGGGGTTTTACATGCTCTTGCTAACTTGGGAAGTATAAGAGAGAAATAAAGTTTCACTGATTTGATTTTGTATGATTTATCTCTATACTGTGTTCATTTATATGATTAAATAGCAAAAGTTTCTTCACATATGTATTTGTATGAGTTACTTATGCAGTAAATTTGGCTCAGCGGTTAAGAGCACTGACTACTCTTGCAGAGGACCTGGGTTCTATTCCCAGCACCGACATGGAGGTTACGAACCATCCTTAACTCCAGTTCCAGGGGATAAAATTATTTTTTTATGGCCTTAGTTTCTTTTCCTGTTGCTGAGATAAAAATGCCCCAATTAAAGCAACTTAAGGAAAAGGGCTTGTTTTGTCCAGTGGTTTGAGGGTAACAGTCCATCATGACAGGAAGTCAGGGCAGCAGGTTTTGAAGCAGTGGTCACATCATATCCACCATCAGGAACAGAGAACAATGAATCCTAGTGCCCAGCTCGCTTCCTTCGTTTTACACAGTCCAAGATCCCTGCCCAAGGAATGGTTCTGCCCTCAGTTAAGATGAGCCTTTACCAGTGCTAGCGAGATGTCTCAATGGTTAAGAGCACTGGCTGCTCTTGCAGAGGACCTGTGCTCAGATCCCAGCACCCACATGGTGGCTGACAGCCATCCAGAGCTGCAGTTACAGGGGCTCCAACGCTGTTTTCGGTCCTCTGTGTGCGTTGCATGCGTGCGGTGCACTCGGATTCATGCAGACAAAACACTCATACATGTAATAAAAAATAAATTGTACTGGATAACTTTAGTTGTCAACGTAACACACCTGGGAAGAGGGAATCTCATTTGGGAAATTTCCTCTATTGAACTGGCCTGTGGACATGTCTGTGCGGCATTTTCTTGATAAGTAATGAGAGGGCACAGCCCACTGTGGGTGATACCACTCCTGGGAAGGTGGTCCTGGGTTGTATAAGGAAGCAGGCTGAGCACAGGCCAGAGGAGCAGGTCAGTAAGCAGTGTTCCTCAACAGTCTGTGGTTCACTCCCTGCCTCCAGATTCCTGCCTTCCTTAAGTTTCTGCCTTGACTTCCCTCGGTGATGGACTGTCACTTGAAAGACTAGGATGAATAAACCCTTTCCTCCCCAACTTGCTTTTGGTAAGTGTTTTATCATAGCAGTGGAAACCAAACGAGAACAGAAATTGGTACCAGAGAATGGGATATTGCTGCAATCAACAAGAGCCCAGCCATGTTGTTTGGGGGAGGATCGTGGAAGCATTTGGGAAGTGGCTGGAAAAGCCATTGAGCACTTGGAGCTTAGCTGTTCTGAGAAGGTATGGAGAAATGCAGATGGTGGCAGCCTGGCTTGGGAAGTTTCAGAGGGAAACAAAGACCATCTGGGTAATTTGTGTGATATTTTGAATTGAGAATCAGTGGTTTCTGGTTAGCTGGGGCTGAAGAATCAGCTGTGATTAACAAAAAATCAGCATCATTGAGGTAAAGTCTTCTGGGAATTATTTCCTTGGGGTCAACACACGAGAATTCCAGAGGGAAGACAAGGCTTACATCTCAGGCTAAAAGCTGTACTTTGTAATGTGTAAGAGTCCTTCAGGTGGTATTGGTTTTGAAGATATTAAGGGGTCATAGAGAGGAGTTGAAGCTTTGTACTATGAGAGGCCAGTAGAGACCATTGGTGAAGGTACAGCGTCAGTTGTAGTACAGACCCCAGCATATTGGTGATACCAGGACCACCAGGGACAGTGGCAAGTATTGAATAGATCTGGCCTGAGCCTATGAGCTCAGTTGTAGTACAGACCCCAGCATATTGGTGATACCAGGACTATGTGATGACCACCAGGGACAGTGGCAAGTATTGAATAGATCTGGCCTGAGCCTATGAGACCACCTGTGTGTGCTGTAGATGGCAGAGCCAGAGAAGTGGAGCTGCCTGGGCCCTTTGGAGCCCAGAGTCAGACATTGAGCTCAGCTGCTAGACTTTGGTTTTACTAAAGTGTGCCTGGTAACTTGTTTTGGATTTTATAGGAGTCCACAGTTAAAAGACTTAAAGAGACTGAACTTCTAAAGTGCGTGAATTTTTTAAAGACAGACTTTTAAAGCTGCACTATGATTTATATTGTGATATTAATATTTATATGGGAAGGTTATGGTTTAATAGTGACGTGTTCGTGTGTTAGTTGACAAGACGTCAGTTGTGCTGAATAGCTTCTTGTCAACCTGACACACCTGGGAAGAGGGATCCTCACTTAAGGAATTTACTCTGTCAGATTGGCCTATGGGAGCATCTTTGAGGCGTTTTCTTGATTCCTGTGTGATATGGGAGGGTCCCTCCTTTTGTGGGCAATGCCACCCCTGGGCAAGAGATCTGGGTTGTATAAGACAGCACGCTGACCATAGGCCAGAGGAGCAAGCCAGTAAGCTGTGCTCTTCCTCCATGGTTGGTCTGTGCTTCATTTCCTGCCTCCAGGTTCTTGCCTCAAATTCTTACCTCAGGTTCCTGTCTCAGCGTCCCTCAGTGAACTGTGATCAGGATGTGTAAACCAAATAAATCCTTTCCTCACCAAATTGGTTTTGGTTAATGTTTTATCACAGCAATAGAAAATTTAACTAGGACATTTTTTTTTTAAAGGTGGGTTAGGGTTACCTATCGTGATAATCCCCCTTAGGATGCCCAGGCTATTCTAGATCCTGTCAACTTGACAACACTAACCATTACGTGTCCTGTTTTTTAAACTTTTTTCATTTTTATTATCCAAGCCTGCTAACTTGTTTCATTGATTCTTCCCTTTTGTCATTATTAGATGTGTAAATATGAGTAAAGGTTGTTGAAATTTAAAAATACTCTTTTTAAAAAATATTTTATTATTTTTATATGTATGAGTGCTTTGCCTGTGTGTGTGTGTAAGTACATTTGTGTTGTGCAGTGCCTACTGAAGCCAGAAGAGGGCGTCAGATCCCCTGGAATTGGATATATGGACAGTTGTTAGCTGCCATGCTGGGAACCCAAGCCAGGTCCTCTGTACGAGCAGCAAGCACTCAACCACTGAGCCATCTCTCCAGCCTTGAAACTTTTGAAAAACATTCATAACTTCTGTGGGCAACTGACACTAAGAGAAAATTTCCACAGAAAATATTTTTTCATTTTTTATCATTTTACTAAGAATATTAAATATATGTGCCTTGTATATTTTAGGCCTAAAGCTTCCTGGCACAATTGTTTTACTTAGAGGCAAAAAGTAAACTGGAAAGTCCTGAAAGTGTCCCAGTCTGGAACATACTAAATCACTTCATTTTGATACTTTAAGTCTTATACTTCTGAGAAATATTATCTTATCCTGAAAGTTGTTTAAAATAGTCATACAAGGCTGGAGAGATGGCTCAGTGGTTAAGAGCACTGGCTGCTCTTGCCAGAGGATCCAGGTTTGGTTGCCAGCACCCATGTGGTGACTAACAACCATCCATAGCTCCAGTTCCAGGGGATCCAGTGCCTTCTGACCTCCATGGGCATTGCACTATGTGGGTGTACTTACATACATGCAGGCAATACACACATACACATAAATAATAAAATAGCCATACAGTTATTTTCTGACCTTAAAGTACACATTAAAATAATGGGAATTTGTTCTCCACAAATTCAAAATTGTGATTTGAAACTCACATTTTCCTGCACTGACTAGAGCTTTTCTTCAATATGTGAATTAATTCAGGGCATTGACTCATCATCAGGAATTATCCATCTAAGAAAAGTGTTTGATATCAGATCATTCTTACACTTTATGCCTCTCTAACCAATTTAAAATCTGTATCAAACTTACAGTGGACATTTAGAGGCTCAATTAAATGGTGAATTATTCTCTTTCAAAGGAAGAGAGTAATTTTCCTTTAGTCATGATCTATGTAACAGGA